CACTATCAAACTCTCACACTCACTATCAAACCCTCTCACACTCACTATCAAACCCTCTCACACTCACTATCAAACTCTCTCACACTCACTATCAAACCCTCCCACACTCACTATCAGTCTCACAATCAGTATCAAACCCTCTCACACTCACTATCAAACTTTTCACATACACTATCAAACCCTCTCACACTCACTATCAAACTTCTCACACACACTATCAAACCTTTCACACTCACTATCAAACTCTCTCACACTCATCATCACTCTCTCACACTCACTATCAAACCCACTCACACTATCAAACTCTCTCACACTCACCATCAAACTCTCTCACACTTACTATCAAACCCTTTCACACTCACTATCAAACCCTCTCACACTCACTATCAAACTCTCACTCACTATCAAACTCTCTCACACTCACTATCAAACTCTCGCACTCACTATCAACCTTTCTCACTCTCACTATTAAAGTCTCTCACACTCACTATCAAACTCACACTAACCATCAAACTCTCTCACACCCACTATCAAACTATCACACTCACTGTCAAACTCTCACACTCACTATCAAACTCGCTCACACTCACTATCAAACCCTCTCACACTGACTATCAAACTGTCTCACACTCACTATCAAACCCTCTGACACTATCAAACTCTCACACTCACTATGAAACCACTCACACACACTACCAAACCTCTCACACTCACTATCAAACTGTCTCACACACACTATCAAACTCTCACACTCACAATCAAACCCTCTTGACACTCACTATCAAACTCTCTCACAGTCACTATGAAACTCTCTCACACTCACTATCAAACTCTCTCACACTCACTATCAAACTGTCTCACACTCACTATTAAACTCTCTCATACTCACTATCAAACTCTCACAATAACCATCAAACTCTCACATTGACTCTCAAACTCTCACACTCACCATCAAACTCTCTCACACTCACCATCAAACTCTCACACTCACTATCAAACTTTCTAACACTCACTATCAAACTCTCTCACACTCACTATCAAACTCTCACACTCACTATCAAACCCTCCCACACTCACTATCAGTCTCACAATCACTATCAAACCCTCTTACACTCACTATCAAACTCTATCACATTCACTATCAAACCCTCCCACACTCACTATCAAACTGTGTCACAATCACTATCAAACCCTCTCACACTCACTATCAAACTCTCTCACACTCACTATCAAACCCTCTCACACTCACTATCAAACCGTCTCACACTTACTATCAAACCCTCTCACACTCACTATCAAACCCTCTCACACTCACTATCAGACCCTCTCACACTCACTATCAAACCGTCTCACACTTACTATCAAACCCTCTCACACTCACTATCAAACCCTCTCACACTCACTATCAAACTTCTCACACACACTATCAAACCTTTCACACTCACTATCAAAGTCTCTCACACTCATCATCACTCTCACACTCACTATCAAACCCACTCACACTATCAAACTGTCTCACACTCATTATCAAACTCTCTCACACTCACTATCAAACTCTCTCACACTTACTATCAAACCCTTTCACACTCACTATCAAACTGTCTCACACTCACTATCAAACTCTCACACTCACTATCAAACCCTCTCACACTCACTATCAAACTCTCATACTATCAAACTCTCTCACACTCACTATCAAACTCTCGCACTCACTATCAAACTCTCTCACACTCACTATTAAACTCTCTCACACTCACTATCAAACTCACACTAACCATCAAACTCTCTCACACTCACTATCAAACTCTCACACTCAATATCAAACGCTCTCACACCCACTATCAAACTCTCACACTCACTGTCAAACTCTCTCACACTCACTATCAAACTCTCTCACACTCACTATCAAACCCTCTCACACTCACTATCAAACTCTCACACTCACTATCAAACTCTCTCACACTCACTATCAAACTCTCACACTGACTATCAAACCCTCTGACACTATCAAACTCTCACACTCACAATGAAACCACTCACACACACTACCAAACCTCTCACACTCACTATCAAACTCTCTCACACTCACCATCAAACTCTCTCTCACTCACATCACACTCTCTCACACTCACTGTCAAACCCTCTCACACTATCAAACTGTCTCACACTCAATATCAAACCCTCTCACACTCACTATCAAACCCTTTCACACTCACTATCAAACTCTCCCACTCACTATCAAACCCTCTCATACTCACTATCAAACTCTCTCACACTCACCATCAAACTCTCATACTCACTATCAAACTCTCTCACACTCATTATTAAACTCTAAGGCTTTCTTGATAGTGAGTGTGAGAGAACTTGATGGTCCTGTTCTCTGATTGGCCCAGAGAGTTATCATTTAAATGAGCAGTTTCTTATTCGCTCAAAGTCAAATATGCCCGTCCCCCACGTGCGGTAGTTCACTCTTAAAAACAGACAGTTCTTCAAAGGTCCCCACAGCGGGACTCTGTGTTCCGCTTTAGGTCCTGATGTGCTGTCTGTTGTGAAGGAGAAACGAGGATTAACCGTTATTTTCACACAGAAACAACCGAAATTGCAAGTATAATCTGAAGCCCCTGCGAGAGGCGCGTGCACACGAAGGGGAGTCAGGATTCTGCTCAACCCCGACAAACAGGCCTGATTTCAGTGATTTCTGAGTTTCTGAGTCCAGGTTCTCCCTCTGCACGTCTACCTCGGGTTAAAGTGATGGATTTTTAAATTTGGATACGTAATTTGCGGCCCTTTATTCCATTGTTGTTTGTTTGTTATTTAATTTTATGCTTAGTTTGTGAAACAAAGCTATTTTGTGATTTTTCCACTGACAATAACAGAATAAAAGCCGAGAACACGCGGACCGCTATAGCACCAAAAAGTCTTCAGTCAAACCACCTACAGCACATTGTCTATTGAAGAACCATTTCACCATGCAAACAGCTCTTTAATCAGGCAAATGGTTGTTTTTGTGTTCCTATTTCCATATAGAACCACTGTCTTTACTAAAGGACCTCTGAAGAACCATCTGTTTTTAAGAGTGAACTACCGCACGTGGGGGACGGGCATATTTGACTATGAGCGAATCAGAAACTGCTAATTTAAATGATAACTCTCTGGGCCAATCAGACAACGTGACCATCAAGTTTTCTCATACACTCGATCAAGTCCTCTCACACTCACTATCAAGAACACCTTAGAGTTTCATAGTGAGTGTGAGAGAGTAATTAGCATTACTGCTACTGAGTGCTGATTGGTTAGCATTACTGCTACTGAGAACTGATTGGTTAGCATTACTGCTACTGAGAACTGATTGGTTAGCATTACTGCTACTGAGAGCTGATTGGTTAGCATTACTACTGCTGAGCACTGATTGGTTAGCATTACTGCTACTAAGTGCTGATTGGTTACCATTACTGCTACTAAGTGCTGATTGATTAGCATTATTGCTACTGAGTGCTGATTGGTTAGCATTACTGCTACTGAGAGCTGATTGGTTAGCATTACTACTGCTGAGAACTGATTGGTTAGCAGTACTGCTACTGAGTGCTGATTGGTTAGCATTACTGCTACTGAGAGCTGATTGATTAGCATTACTGCTACTGTGTGCTGATTGGTTAGCATTACTGCTACTGAGAGCTGATTGGTTAGCATTACTACTGCTGAGAGCTGATTGATTAGCTTTACTGCTACTGAGAGCTGATTGGTTAGCATTACTGCTACTGAGAACTGATTGGTTAGCATTACTGCTACTGAGTGCTGATTGGTTAGCATTACTGCTACTGAGTACTGATTGGTTAGCATTACTGCTACTGAGTGCTGATTGGTTAGCATTACTGCTACTGAGTGCTGATTGATTAGCATTACTGCTACTGAGTGCTGATTGGTTAGCATTACTGCTACTGAGAGCTGACTGGTTAGCATTACTACTGCTGAGTACTGATTGGTTAGCATTACTGCTACTAAGTGCTGATTGGTTAGCATTACTGCTACTGAGAGCTGATTGGTTAGCATTACTACTGCTGAGAACTGATTGGTTAGCATTACTACTACTGAGTGCTGATTGGTTAGCATTACTGCTGCTGAGTGATTGGTTAGCATTACTGCTGCTGAGTGATTGGTTAGCATTACTGCTGCTGAGTGATTGGTTAGCATAACTGCTGCTGAGTGATTGGTTAGCATTACTGCTGCTGAGTGATTGGTTAGCATTACTGCTGCTGAGTGATTGGTTAGCATTACTGCTAATGAGTACTGATTGGTTAGCATCACTGCTACAGATTCTGCGCTCAGACACCAAATTTTATCCTGATTTTTTTTAGATACTTCTTTCAATTTTACCAAACAATCTTTCTTAGTGCAGCTTTAATGTTAAATTAGCTGTCATAAAAACCTGTTATTATACAAACATAATCCTCCTAGAAAAAACCAGCAGAGACCGGCATGGATGGTCACCAGCAAAACCAGCATATGTCTGTTTGGATGCTGGTCTGCTGGTCCACCATCATGACCAAGCTGGGTGACCATCTACATGAACACCAGACCAGCATAAACCAGTTTAAACCAGCATGATGATCTGTGCTGTTTTTCCTCAGGGTTTTAAAAGCTCTTAGTGTGTAGAAAATGATCAGAAAGAGTCAAGTAGATTTATTTATTTTGACTTTATTTGCTCCCATATATGTACTTATGTAGTGTAAACAATACATTAAAGCAGTACATCGAAACCTGCTTTGCACACATTGCTGATATTTTCCTGTGATCTCTCAGTTGTGGTTCTGGTTACCTAACTGTCCACATCAGGACACTTTGGTCTGCAGTGACATTAAAGACCAATAACACTGAGTTTAGCTTGATCTCAGGTAGAAACATAATAATGACACTTATAAAAAAACAAATCAGTCATTTCAGCTTCATTTACAGACAAATATACACCATATAAACCCCCAAACACAGCACAGAGTGGCGGATTTAGTGTGAAGGCAGTGCTGCAGTTAAAGTTCAAGTTTAAATATCCTGTGCAGATTAAAAAATACATTAACCTTAATGAAAAACCAAAAAAGTGTTACCCAGTTGAGTAACTCAAAAAACAAACAAACAAACAAACCATGCATCATCAAAACAACAGTGACTTCACAGGAGAAAGCCAAAATGACCATAACATGTAAGTTACTGTAAAGATTTAGATTTTGAAATGTTTCTATCTTTCATTCATCATGAAATATTCACATAACATTTTACAGTAAAGTATCGGTATAACAATATAACTGAAAATCATATCTGCTAACTTTATATGCAGTATATGTAACAGTATGCTTGAACACACAAACACATTATTAACAAGACAATAAACAAAAAACAAACAAAATACATAAAAATATAATTAATAAAAAACAAAAACAAACTAAAAGGAAAAAAATGAAGTTTACATATGTCTGAGCTGATCTGGCTACATCACTGGAAATGATCTGATCAGAAAAACACTACAGCTAAAGTTCTGAGAGCTGAGACTGATCACAGTTCGCTCTGCTAGAGCACAGCTACACACCTTTCTGTGAGCTGAGTCAGGAACAAGGTTTACATCAGAACTAGGGGATAAACTGAGTGGTCTTTATTCTTAATGCAGGACTGTAACTAAAACAGTCTAACACTGTACAAAAGTATTAGACCATCTGAGAAAGTAATCTGACCACTGACTGCTGTATTTATGTTTATTTGTGTTTATTCTAATGTCATATGGTGTTTTTACTGTAGAAACACATTTTGTTAAAGTAAATAGCTTTAATCTGATAAACCTACAGCTCAGTTAAAGCAGCTCAGCTGAACGTTTGTCCAGCAGATGGTGCTGTAGGTCTGCACCAGTGAGTCTCCTGAATGTTTGTAGTTTTCAGGCCACATTTTCATATTAATGAATACAATAAACACGCGATACATACATGTGAACATGTTACAGTGGATTAAATCAACATGACTAATGCTAATTATCCACTCATGTGAGTAAAATCACTGAAAAAAAAGAAAGAAAAAGAGATCAGGCCGGCCTCGTCCTCTTTAAGAGCTTTGAAACTTTTAATGGACTTCAGTGGCCTGTATTGATATTCAGAGTTTCAGGGCAAACGGCTTAAAAATCTAAATGGTGCTACACAAACTGACTATCATTAAATAAAAACGTTCTAGACTGCTAGAGAAACAAACTCACAGCAGTGCTTTAGGTGGGCTGTGGTGTAGCTACGGTAACAAGCAGCACAATAAAGAGACAGTGGCCACATTTCACATCAGTCAATCACGTTGACCTGCCGTCTCCAGAAGCAGTAAGAAAGTGCTGAAATTTGATAGCCTGTTTGAACGAGGCGAGATCTACCAACATGCACTGTGTGATCGACGTATCGGGCCCCTCTGCTGTGTAGCTGACAGTAATGTTGATGCAAAGTTACAGTGAATATTATAATATAGAATTATTATAGTGATGGTTAAAGTGATGAGAACTTCAGTTCACTTTAATCTGAGCACTTCATCAGTTTCAGTGAATCTAACCTCAGATTAAGGGATGAGGATGATGATGATTTGCTAATACTTTATTGAGGAGCAGAGTTCATAAGGCCTCATGACAGCTGACATAAATGTTTATGTAGATCTTTGTCAGCTGTCATGATTACCTTTTGTAGGTGTCGTGTAGTGTTATGATCTTCTGTGAGTAACTTATTTAATTACCAACAACAATTGATTCTTAGATGCATCACCATTCATTCCAGCACTCTGGCTCTCATTGGTGCTTGGTGTTCAGGTGCTGGACATCTGCTCCTCTCTGCTGCCCTCATCTGCACTCATGATTCGGCCACTGGGCTCATGAGAGAGAGGGAGCATGAGGACGGAGGAAAAGAGGAAAGGAGGAAAGGAGGAAAGGCTGACACTGGACCTGAGCAGGGGCCTGGGGGGGGAGGAGCTCCCTGCATTTGAAGAACAGGGACGGGAGGAGAGAGAGGGATGGAGTGAGGGAAAACACAGGAAGAAGCTGAGGGCATCAAAAGACAGGCCTCCAACTGCTCCCTGTGCTGTTCAGCCTCCTGAAGCAGGTCCAGCCTGTGGAGGAGAGACTGGATGACGTCATCACATCAGACTGAAGCCCAGAGACGCGAGAAGGTGATTTAAGTTGAGGTGCTGATATGTTAAGTAGTGTATATGTGACCTGAACTCTGACGTTACGCTCTTTTCTATGGTTTTTATATCAGAACGAGTCAAGCAGTGCTATAATGATAAAGGATACCTATAACTGACACATCAAACCCCTGACGCACATCCTCTCTCTGCTCTCTCATTCTGGATGAGCTTTATGGAAATGAGCTGAGTGGTGACCAATCAGACTGTTGATATGTGTTACAGCCTCAGTCACACACTGAGATTTAACACTGGACCACACAGAGCAGGAGATATAACGACTGATAGATCACCATCAATACATCATTTAAAAGTTATAATAATACCATAAGGCTGCTTTGACCTCTGACAACAACACGTTTTAGAATGAAGTTTTGGTTTGGAAATGGGTGTAAAATGACTTTCTACTCTATCAGGGTCGAGATCTCACTGTTAGTAGATGTAGTTTATAATCAGACAGTATGAAGTGTTTAACTGTGGATTTTCCTCTTCTCTAAAATATTTCTCCATCTCGACCCCTGGAGGATTTTAATTATTCATGCTTTAAACCGTATATGAATGTTTCATTATGTACATCAATCTGTAAATACTGTGAATTTTAATGCAAAGGACAGCTGTCAGGGCGTCACACAGCCCCCGGGCTCAGAGGTCTCTAAGGACACATGATCCTCAGACCTCCACCTCGCTCCAATCACCGCTCTCTGTCTCCTGAGTATTACCTGGTACACCTGTTCTGGTATGATTAGCTTAGTATAAAGCCCGGGCTTGTAGACTAGTTCATTGTGAGGTGTTGCTGCTTGTTCTAAGAGCTACTGAGTGTTATTCATCTGTTTTCTGTGATTTTTCTGGGTCTGACTGTGTTTTGGTATTTTGACTTTTGCCCTTTTTGCCTTTGCCCCTTGGACTCTGTTTGCCAGGTTATGTTGGTGTTTTTGAGTCTTTTGTCATTTCTGGATTTGACCTTTGCCTGTTCTCTGAGCACGTTTTTGGATCACGATTCTAACATTAAAGCCTCACTTTCTCTTTTTATCAGTGAGTGTCTGAGCTATTCTGTCTCGTTACACAGGGTGGCTGCTTTGAGGAATTCAAAATAAGCTCATCTATTTATTACTTTTAGATGTACTTTGAAATATTTGATGATATTCTTTATTTATTGTGTTTCTACTGTGTTTTCAACCACATTAGCTCACATTTACAGACTACTTACGATCCTCTGTTTAACCTGTAGAGGTTAGCAGTGTCTGCTGTTAGTCTGGAAGTGGATCATTTGTCCTTCTATCAGGATCACTGGAGGTTCTCTGCAGCATCGACATGGTTTCACCAACGTTCTCCACATTACCACATGGTGACCCACAACTTCTGGAATCTGAAATCAACATGTTTATTGACATGTTAAAGTAAATAAACAGGTCAGTTCATTCTCTGAGAATCTGAAATAAAGATGAAATGCCTTCAAACGCCTGAAATGCCTCTGCTGTGTAAAGACTCTGTAGGATCCTCTAAAATACACACTCTGATACTCTTCCAGTGTCACCATTAAAATCACCATTAATGTTGCCAGTGCTGCTCCTGTTTGATCCACTGATTCTCCTTCCTGAAACAGACACAGTCAGGCCACATCACAGCTGAGTTACAGTGGACGCTCATTAATTAATGACAAATATCACTCATATTAAATGGGTTTAATATGGAATATTATTACCTGAGTCAGAAACAGAGACAGAAGCACCAGCTGTAGTGATAAATAACATAAACTATGCATTAAAATTGAGTTGGAGATTCAATTAACTTAAATTAATTTAAAGCTTTAAGCTTCAAAATAAGCTGCTGCTTTTAAAACTGCACTGTGTAAAATCAAAGGTCTCATTTAATAAAATTGGAGTAGAACATGTTCTCATGTTCTATATCTGTGTGTAAAAACTACCAGCACACCCTAGAAAACATATTCATCAAATCCTACACTGATCTGCTGATGCACACATTTACATAAAGACACGCCCATAAATACCCAAACACAGCAAACTTAAACTCCCTTTAAAATCCCCAGTGGCCTCTGAATCAGAGGACCAGCTGAACTGAAATGTGGTGTCTAAAAAATGTAGCTCTTACATTCAGTTCAGCTGAAATAGATGATGATTAATGGGAGTTTGTGCATCTCATAACGACTTTACCTGTGATTACACTTCTCCACCACTAGGGGTCTCTGCATTCAGAGTCAGGATTAGGTCTAAATACACACACATGCACAATCACATTAAACTAATGTGTTCATGCTCGGTTGGATGTAAACGCTAATTTTGATTTCCTGCACTTTTATTAAGATGTAAAAATGTATTACAAAGTTAGACGAGTTGCAAAGATTTGCCATTTATGCTCAAGTCAGGAAGCTAGAGGTGGGATAAAAGATGATTAGTTGTAAATAATGATAATCTTGTAATTATTAATCAAGTAATTATTGCTCTGAATAATTTATTAAATGAATTGATTCTTATAAAAAATAGCTGAGAAACAGCTTATTTGTAGTGCTGAAGCTGCTGTTGTTGTTGTTTTTGCCCAGTGACAGAGAAAAGAGAGTTTAGCACATACATTCACAGTCACAGTCATGGTTTATATCACAGTCCTGGTTTGATGTCACAGAGCTAAGAGGACGAGCTGACCACGAGTTCAAATCACACAGTTTCCAATGAAGCAGGAAGATTTTACATCAGATCTGTATGAAAGTTCTTTGTAGATAAGCTGTGAAATTATCCACCCCATCAGCACAAAGTGCTGGCATTAACGTGTCTAAATCTGACCCAGAGTGTCGTGTCCAGCTGCACTGGAATATCTGGCCGGATCCAAAATTTGGCCTGGGCAACATTTACGGGATATTTTATAACACCATTGTACTGGTGGACTCTGAAGGTCGTCTTCTAGAGTGAAAGTTCTGTTCCTGGTTGTTTATATGCAGCAAAAGCTCTGACGACCACTGACAGCCAGCAAATCACAAGATAGCCCCTGTTGTGTCCAGCCTCTTTCTGATACCACAGAGATGATGTACAAACCAGGTTCTAGACAATCAATTCGGGCAGAGTTTTCCCCTGGTGGCACCTCAAAATCAGACTCAGCAGTGCTGCTGGAGTTTTAAACACCTCAGTGTCACTGCTGGACTGAGAATAGTCCACCAACCAAAAACATCCAGCCAACAGCGTCCTGTGGGCAGCGTCCTGTGACCACTGATGAAGGACTAGAGGATGACCAACACAAACTGTGCAGCAGCAGATGAGCTATCGTCTCTGACTTTACATCTACAAGGTGGACTGACGAGGTAGGAGTGTCTAATAGAGTGGACAGTGAGTGGACACAGTGTTTAAAAACTCCAGCAGCACTGCTGGGTCTGATCCACTCAGACCAGCACAACACACACTAACACACCACCACCACGTCAGTGTTACTGCAGTGCTGAGAATGATCCACCACCCAAATAATACCTGCTCTGTGAGGGTCCATGGGGGTCCTGACCACTGAAGAACAGGGTAAAAGGGGGCTAACAAAGTATGCAGAGAAACAGATGGACTACAGTCTGTAACTGTAGAACTACAAAGTGCACCTATATAGTAAGTGGAGCTGATAAAATGGACAATGAGCGTAGAAACAAGGAGGTGGTCATAATGTTATGTCTGATGGGTGTCAGTACAAAATGACCTTCATCAGAATGTATTTACTACTTTCAATAATTCAGTAAGATTTCAGATGAAGGAGAATAAGAAGATCATGTAAATGTTTCTCAGAAAATCAGACTGTGATGTCAGAACTGATTGTTGTCTAAATAAAGATTATTTTTCTTTGGTCAGATGAGATGGAAGTCCATTTTTAAAGTGTCCTCTTTCTGCATTAAACAGAATCTGAATATAATCTTCAGAATATGATCACAGTTTATACTCACCAGCTTTCTGCTTCTTTTTCAGGAAGATGATGATGACGACTCCAACCAGCACAGCCAGCACAATCACACCTACAGCTGTCCCTCCAATAGCCAAGCCCAGATGGATCGGGGGGTGAGGACGCTCTGCAGACAGAAAAGTGATGAACAAAAATCGGAGTTACCTTTTTTCAAATGATAAAAAACAGTTTTTGCAACAATAGTTTTCAGATGGAAAACATGAACTGTAGGAACAGCAGATGTAACTCTGAATCTAATGTATGGCCTCCTCGTCTACGATTAATCTGTACAGAAATCTTATTTTGACTGCATTACGCTACTGAAATCAACTAGTGTTTCAGCAGAGGAGGTCCAGATGAGAGGGATGCATGAACTTAGCCTTTGGTTATGTTGTTTTGTGTCCCAGTTTCTGTGCTGCACAAAGTCAAATCCAAGCCTAGCAGAGCCCAGCACAGCATGTGAGTGTGTAATGCATCTTTACTGACCTGCCACCTTCAAAACATTACAGCCCAACACCTGATCTGACCAGTTTAACTGCACAGCATCCTTTCCATCCCATAAAACTACTGACGATGAATCGCACTCAGGACCCCATGATTCACCCAGAAGTGCTTAAGCTGGTTGACCTGGCTGAGAGAACGCTACCCTCAGGGTCTCTTTCTGTCCCCATTCTACACAGACTTTGTCCAAGCCTAACACGTTCACTACATATGAAAAGTATGAGGAGTTATGTATATTTTCCCCTTATTTAGTGTATAGTCACAAAGGTATGGGAGGGGTTAGTGGACAATGTGTCATTATTACCCATAAATCCACATCTACTGATTAAAGTGAGCCATATTTTGAAGTTCCGTGTCATAAGCAGCCTAATGCAGTCGAGAAGGTAATTATAGGTCTGGTCTCTGTAGATCTGCTGTTCTGTTTAGCAGTGTTTACAGTTTCATTAAGCAAAGAAAAACAAAAACAAAACAGAATGTAGACTGATGTAAGAATGCCAAGAATCAGAAATATAATTACCCCACTGTTTAATTACTGGTTCTTTGATTGACCTGTGAGTCACAAAACAGTCATAATCTGCTGCTTCATCCTCCTGGATCTCCACACTCTTCCTCAGCTGGTAGGTTCCATCATCATTGGGTCTGACTCCTGAAGATGTTAGTAGATGTTCAGGCAGTGAAGTAGTGAACTTCCTCAGTTTAATCTCCACGTCTTTGGGGTAGAAGCCCGTGGCCAGGCAGGTCAGGTTCAGCTTCTTTGGGTCAGTTACAGATTTCTTCACAAACACATAAACAGTTGGTGGAGCTACAGAGAAAACAAATAAAAAATACACATTTATTTCAGTTAGTTTTCCCCCAAAGTGATTCATAATCAATCCTCTCCTGCTGCAGCTGACAGTCTGTAAGTGTGAGAGCTGACAGGAGCTCCCTCTGTGACATCTAATCACACCATATCACCATCTCTGTTCAAGCTCCCACTCACACAAGTGCTTCAAACAGCAGACGGAGAAATCCGAAAGAAATCAGAGTAAGAGTTCACATGCACTGAGAAATCTGATTACTGAGCTAAAATCCAGCCTCTTTATCAGATTTCTTAATCGGATTTCTAGATCAGAGTGTGCTGTTCACATGACCATTTAAATAATTAGATAACTGCAGAAATCTGATAATGATCTGATTATTGAGTGTAATGTAAACGCACTCATAGACAGTAATTGTGATTAAAATCATGAACGGCTGATTTGAAAACCCAGAAACTAACCAGTAGAACCAGTTCAGAAAGAGGTGCCTTTAAAATACATTATACTCTAACAAACCCAGCTCACAGTGCACCTGTACCAGGTATACAGTGTTCTTAATGACTTGGTTCAGGCGTGTTTGATGCTGCATTACAGCAAAAATGTGTCCAGCTGGGGGTCCCTGGGGGCTGGTTTAAGAAACACAGGTCTACATGCTGACTGACTATGAGTTTTGGGTCAAATGAGTGGATAAAAACCTGGAATTCTCCCTCCAGTCACCTCAATAAAGATGGTAACACTGATCATAATGAGTTTGATGATCATGAGAATGACAGTTATAAACACTCACTCAGTTTGGTGTCAGTAGTGTTGTACTTTAAATACGTCTTCATCCAGTGCACACAGTCTTCACATCTCTGATCAACACGTACAGCGTTCCACTCCTCCTCCAACGCTTTAGCCTGGCTGACTGAGGCTGACCATCTCCTCGAGGTCCAGTTATAAGAGATTAAGTTCTGTCCATCGTAGCCGTATTCATTAATACAGTTTAACACTGACAGCGAACCACCAGAGTGCTTTTCAACCTCACAGCCGACTCTCCACTGCAGAGTGTGACCATCTGAAACGTAAATGAAGAACAGAGACCAATATAAATGATCAGACACTCTAACATTTCATGTTTCAACAGAATGTGACTGTTTTGTTTGTGTTTGTTAGTAGGTACTTATTTAATGCCACACTTTGTGAGAGTGAAAGGCTCACTACTCTCTCTCTTTTCAGAAACAGTGACAATATATTTGTCTGACAGACTAACATGGTGCATCATCCACTGAGGAGGAAAGACCTCCTGGAGAAGACGACGAGTGCTGTGTTGTAGCGGTTAGCTCATCTGAAGAGGCAGCCTCCAGTACTCATCCAGCACCGAGACACACTGATGTCCCTCAGTGTCCCTCAGCCTTTTTTAATTTTAGCGTGTTGTCACCTACACAAGTAAGACTACAGCTCTATTTTAATGTTGAGGGTCTTTTTTCTTTTCCTTTTACATAGAATATCAGTTAATGGAATATCAGTTAATGGAATATCGTTAATGGAATATGGGTTAATGGAATATCGGTTAATGGAATATGGGTTGATTAACTCTTACAGAGAGAACAGCACTAGATCTATCCTAGTCTGGAGCCATTTCAATGTGGAGCGTTTCACTGAATTCTGAACATGACACTGAAGTGAATCTTTCAAATGAAGAATGATCATCTAAGCAGAACATAACTGTAAATCTCTCTTTCTCTGCACGAACATCATGAAATTAAAAAAAATAAATAAATTAAAATAGAAAGTTCTCACCTGACTCATTGTGTCTGAAGGCCTTCATCTGTATGTCGAGGATCTTGTTTAACTGTTGTCCATCGTACTTCAGTTTATCAGTGCCTGCTGTCCACTCACTCTCCTTCATCTCCTTCATCCAGTCCTGTTTAGGAGTCCTGACCCCGTCTGTACTGCTGTAGGAGTCAATCTGTCTGTCATCCAGCAGAGTCACTGCACTGAACTCAGAGACTCTGTCTGAAGAGCTTTTAGACTGGACAGTGTAGAGGTAACACAGAGAGTGTTCATCTGTGGAGAAACAGAGAAATGAAAGATTAGATATTAAACAATGACTTGATTACAGTAAATAAGGACAGAGTTGATTGGATTCCACGTTTGTTGGAGGAAGCTGATCAGACACTAAACAGGGCCTCTTTCACTCCTTTAAGACTACATTATCACTATCAGTCTCAGGAAGAAGCACAAACCTGTCACTGAGGTACATTTTCAGTTACTTTAGTCTAGGAGACATAACTGGTATAAGAGCTGGTGCTAAGGTGTTGATAGTCGGTTGCTATGGTATAAGAGCTGGTTGCTAAGGTGTTGATAGTCGGTTGCTATGGTATAAGAGCTGGTTGCTAAGTGTCGCTAGCCAATTGCTATGGTATAAGAGCTGGTTGCTAAGGTGTCGACAGTCGTTGCTATGGTATAAAAGCTGGTTGCTAAGGTGTCGATAGCTGGTTGCTATGGTATAAGAGCTGGTTGCTAAGGTGTCGACAGTCGTTGCTATGGTATAAAAGCTGGTTGCTAAGGTGTCGATAGCTGGTTGCTATGGTATAAGAGCTGGTTGCTAAGGTGTTGATAGTCGGTTGCTGGTGTTAAAATTGTAGCACAGGCCCACCTTAATGGAGGAGAGCAAAGTTCAGTTGAAAGGGGACTCAACTCAAAACAAACAGGCCTAAACCACGACAGATCGTCTCCTCCACTCCCACCACAACATTTTCTCATTTAGATTTGAGAAAAGTCTCTGTTTCCTCTGTTAGAGCAGCTCTGATCTGAACTCACTGATCTGCCCTCCATCTATACCTGCTCCTGATCTGATCAGCTCACTATCAGCTCCTCACTGAGTGACGGAGGGTCTGATACAGCAAAGAGAGCTCAAAACTGACGGGTCGAGGATCCAGGAACACAGAAAAAACACTGCTGTAGAGAAAACAGGAACTAAACCTGTTTTTCTCCTCCTGCTCTGCTCTGACTCACTGGAAACATGTCTTGTGGTGTCCCAACACTCCACCAGAGATTCTCTGACATAGGCGGAGATCTAGTTACGGTCATATTATAAGGAATGCCGAGCCTTATCAATACAATTACTAATAAACTTATTAGACTTATTTTTCAAAATGACTATCACTGACTAAAAGAGAGGGTAATGAGTTTGGTAATGAGGTCTGAGGCACCTCTACCCATTCTCAACACCTGATCAGGGATGCTCTTAAGCAGTGAGCTGTAATGTTTTCAGGTTCTACATTTATGGCGGAGCTCCACATTAGTTAAGAGATCACCTTCATCAGTTAGTAAGTGTGCTATCGGCCGTTTTCTCTTAGCAAACCAGTCCTGATAAAAACTTTAGAGCAAAACAAAACAAAAGCAGTTTCATGTTCCTCTGCTCTCTGCCCCTCCCCTCAATCAGGAAGTGCTGGGTGCTGACTTCCTGATTAGGGAAACGGGCCATTAAAGTCCAACAGTGGGGAAAGGGCCAATTAGTGCCCAGCACTAATTTCCTAAATGAGGGGAGGGGCAGATGGCAGAGGAACAGATAACTGCTGTTGTTTAGTTTTATCTCTAAAGTATTGTTTTTCTGGATCCTCATCCTGGTCAGTTTAGCTTCTCTCTGCTCGATCAAACCCTCTTTCACTCTGTAAGGGCTGTTACTGAGCTGATTAGTCAGACCAGGCTTGGCAAATACTTCTAAAACAATTATATTGAATTGACTCTGTTTGCACTGATTGACCAGACTTCTCTAGCAGGTGTTGAACTGACTGGAGGTTAAAGTGTTTGTCTGTAGCACAGATGTTTATGTCGCTTGTATAAAAACACGATTTTTGCAGATTATATATTTATTAAATTATTTTGCCAAATCCAAAATGTGTAGGTTGTGCCCCGCTGTCCCCTACTGTGAGAACTGTGGAGGATTTTATATCCTTTATTTAGTCTGGACTCCCACATTGTTGTGTGTGTGATTCCCCCACAGTTCTGGACTCATCTTTGAATTTCAGTCTCAGCAACTAAGACAAAGATACAGAGCCACACCTTTCAGTGGTGATCTAAAGTCATATGAACGCCTGTGTTTCTGAGGTTAGCAACTGTCTGTAAGGCAATAGCCAGTGTTTACACACTTCTGTTTCTTGTGGATTTCTTTTCAGCCTTCTGTCCCTCCCTCACTCAGGAAGTTTACCGTGCAGGGAGGTAGGGTTTTTTGCTAGCACAGGAAAAGAGCTCTAACCACAAGAGCAGAACACGTGATCTCGAAATGACTTTTTTGGACATTATGGGGTGGTGAAGACAGTCTGTGTCACTTTACTGTGTGGATTACTTGCTTCTACTCTGGGTCCTCAAGGTGAGTATTTTATTTCAGATGGATGATAAAAGTATAAAATTCATATATTCCCAGTAGTAAACTGTGCTGAATGGAGCAGTATTCTACAGTATAGTCTTTAAGTCATGGGCAGACCAACTATCCACAATTGTTGGTGAACTTCAATTGTAAGTGAAACTAAAACATTCTAAAGTGGTCGTTTCTGATAATGTATTAATAATATATATCAGTTCAGAGTTTAGTGTTTTATGAATGTGAAATTGAACGTGTTTCTTATTGGCGACACATTGAGTAGTTGTGTTTTTTGTATTCTCTAGCCTCGCTGTGTATCATGACTCGTCTCCGATGTCCTCGATTGATGTTGCGCTTCTGACACTCTAATTCTGGAAATTCTGTGACAGTTGCCTAAAAACTGCTACTGTAGAATCACGTTATATTTCAGATGAGCATCAAATGATGGACTCTGAACTGATAACCGTTGAAGTTCACGTATGTATAAGTTTTAAATTAAGTTTAAATTGTACACCTCATACGTCGGCAGTATAATATATTCTGAACTGACATCTGCTGGTTTTATAGACTCCTTATTAGAAACGACTAGGGGTGTGAATCTCGAGGCACCTCACGATTTGATTTGATTACGATTCAGAGGCTATTTCTCTCACTGTGTGAGGTCTTGGTACTTCTAAAGTATTTATAATAGTCCACGATGCATTTACTTCCAATATCTTTTATTAATAAATCAAATGGAAGTGATTTGTCAAATGAACTAGAAGGCTCTCATTTACTGCGCATGTTACTGTGAAAACGGAATATGGTTTTCCCCTTCAGCTCCATAGAAGCCAAAGTGCTTCCATACGCTCGCTCAGGGGTCGGCAAACTGCGGCTGTTTTACTGACCAAACAGAGTTTTAACAGTAAATGGTCTTAAACGCTGGAGTTAATGTAGCGTATAACCACTAGTTCACCTAGTGAGTAGCTAACGAAAAGGCAAAGAGAAAGATTTGAGATGAACATCAATAATTTGGAGACGAATATATGTTTATAATCACTCCTGGTTTCCTGATACATTTTTATCTGCAACGAGGAACTGTTAAACACAAACAAACGTGAAGCCGAAGTCGCTTCTCATTCAGCAGCTTGTTTGAATTTACCTGTTCCACCTTAAATGGTGTAGCAGTTACATTCTGGCGCCTCAGTGAATGAGAAGCGTCTTCAGCCTCGTAAAAAGTCGAACGTTGAAAAAACATTTTGCAAGAAACTGTTCGACATTTGTGGAAAAGTTTCCTGCTGGAGATGCGAGAAAAACAGCTACAGCTGAGCTAAAGCTTAAAGCAGAGCGAAGTAAATCTGTGTTTTTGTTTATATAATATTTTTAGCCTGTACTAGAACATCAGCATGTGCCGAGACTTGTACAGCCAAGATGGTAAAATGGACTCAAAATGTTGTGGCTCCTAAGGTGGTTTGATTTTTGTTGAAAGGATAAAGTGACTCTTATTACCATTTGGGTTGCGACTCCTGCACTAGATTTTAATGTACTGTGCTGCCACAGACTGTCTGGGCGCTGCACTTCCACACGTTGCAAAGTTCCACCTTTTGTGTTCCGTCAACATTACGTTATCAATTAAAATGTAGAAAATCGATTTTTGACATTTGTGAATCGATTCAGAATCGTCCACGTCTGGATCACGATGCATCTAAGAATCGATTTTCCCCTCCACCCCTAGAAATGACCATTTATAATGTTTTAACTTTTACTGTTTCTTATAGAATATAAAGAAGAATATATTCTTTATGAAATCTAAAATAGTTTTAGGATTTTGGCTGCCAATTACTTAAAAATGCAACAGTAAAATAACTTCATAAGTTCACAGTATTGTGAACTTTGAACTGACATCTGTTGGTGTTATGGACTACTTATTAGAAATTACCATTTTATTATGCTTTTAGATTTACTTATAATTAAAAGATGCAGACAATTGTGGGGAAATTGACTAATAATAATTTAAAGACTGTATGATAGAATCACTTCATAATTCATATAAACATAGCATAATAACCTCTGAACTGATATCTCTTGGTTTTATGAACTACTTATTAGAAATGACCATTTTATAAGGCTGTGAATTTGAGTTCTGATATGAAGTGAGGTTTTTTCCTCGGGTCTGTAGGTGGCGTGACTCTTAGTGCTCAGTGTGCAGTATTACCACACTCTAGTGTTACGTGCAGCTAGTTTAACCGTGTTTAGGGGAAAGAAAGCTGGCTTAACTGCAGTATTTAGTTCCTGTTTTACCTGATGTTACTACATTTAAACACCACACAGTGTTATATTTTCTGTACTGTGGGGAATCTTTAGGCGTGACTCATCAAAGCTTTAAAAGTTGCCATTCTCGGCCTTTAATAATGACAAACGCCCCATATCAGACTGAACTGAACTGCCTGTCTGAAAAGATCGGCTTTGATAATGCAGTATAATCAGACTCCACATCAGTTTAACCGCTGTGTGCTCATTTACTGACAGTGATCAAACATATAAAATATGAGTCCAACAATACAGTATAATATACTAGAAGACTGACTCGTTAAAAGTGAAGCTAACTCCTCAGCTAATACTGTTCTGTGTCTGTGCTGTTATCCAGTGTCGACCAGAGGAGGATGGGTTCCCCTTTTGAGTCTGGTTCCTCTCAAGGTTTCTTTCTCCTGTTGAGGGAGTTTTTCCTTGCCACTGTCGCCAAGGCCTGCTCACTGGGGGACCTGGATTCTCTGTAAAGCTGCTTTGTGACAACATCTGTTGTAAAAGGTGCCATATAAATAAATTTGACTTGACTAATACAGACGCAGACAGAGAACTTACCTCCGAACACACGCAGAACACAGAACATCAACAGCAGTAAAGACGTATGAAACATCGCAGCATTATTTCAGAGCATATTACAGAGATTAGATCAGTAAACATGAAATACGTCTCGAACTGAAATCCACATTAACTGCGACTTGTTCACCGAGTCGACTCTTTGGAATTGTGTTCCGTACCCACCCTGATTTCACCTCCCGAGGACCCTCGGCCAGAGTTAGCAAGTTAGCATGTTTTCATCATCATGCCAGCCAGTACAGTTATATATAAACGTTATGGTTTAATCCAGTTGTGTGTCGCTTAGTTGTGCTTGATTACTAAAGTATTGAAGTTTACAAAAAGTCAGGCAAATACGCGTCGACCTATGCCTTTAGAGGGTCCTCCCACAGATGCTGACTGACGGCGGTGAGACGTAAGAGTCATCCAATAACACTGCGAATCGAATGACTGGAAACCAGACGAAGTAAGATCAGAACTGGGAAGTAGGATTGGGCACCACACCGAGGTCTGAGTCGACTCTGATCCGGCTCTTTTAAGTGAACACTGGGGGCCGACTGGGACATGAGAGGAACCGTTTACAGTTTGTGTTTGTTCGTGTAAAAATGTGGACAAACAGATCTGGTGACGCTCTGTCGTCGAAAACTCATCAGTCTTCTTTAAATCTAGTCTGTTAATCAAAGCCAGTGTATCTGTGATCTTAAAGTACACAGTAAACTTAGATTGGTACTTTATATTCAGCAGGTTTTGTTTGGTTTGTTTGTTGTTTTGGCCGAGGCCTTTCCTGACGTCTGCTGCTGGTGTGAGAATCCACTGTTTGTACTCATATATTAGTACAGTAACACAGCTTTAAACATAATAGTTCAGACTAGAGTTTGATTCTCCACACCCACTTCACTGTTACACCTCACTCTTCTCATATTGTTACGGCCTGATAAAGATCGGGTCGCAGCACAGGAACAAGTTCCAATTAGAACAAATGGTTCTATTTAGCAGTTCAGGCAGTCTAAACGTCTACACAGTCTACACACAGTAGACAGTCTACAACCCTACAACACATTCTAGTGTAGAAAAATGTTACCAGTGTAACCTGGTGGAATTGTATCATGCCTTATAAAGCCTTTATTAAAAAACATACTGCTACTTTTACAAAGTTGTGTGAAAAATACAGACATACAGTGGAGAGAAACTCAACCATGACCTGATATAACTTCACTGAGACACAGACACAAACATACTGCAGTACAGAGGGGGAACAAGTCACTGAGTTACAAGTAACAAGTCTTGACACTCAAGTTCTGAGTCAAGATAGTTGGGTCTCCATTCAAGTCCCGAGTCAGTACAGGCGAGTCTCAAGTGGAGTCCCAAGTCAATAGTCCTAATCTTCGAGTCCTAAACAAGTCAGTCTGCATTCTTCACTAATTTAAAGCCATAACACTGAATGAAGGTAACAGTGCTGTAGCCTTGTAATGACAGCATGTTAGTGGTTTATGACTGTATATTAATATTACATTACATTTTTTACCCCTTCCTACAAAATCCATGATGGACAGATAACAGCACTCTTAAAAAGGCTGGTTCTTCAAGGGTTAGAAAGTGTTTCTAAAAACACTCAAAGAACCCTTCGCATGGTTAAAGTGCTCTTTGCATCATAGAGGGTTCTTAACAATGTGCTGTAGATGGTTCGATATAGAACCTTTTTGAAAAGCGTTCTATATAGAACCTAAAGGGTTCTTCTATTGTTACCATGTCAAGCAATAGGAGAGCCCTTTTCAAAAAGGTTCTGTATAGAACCATCTACAGAACATTCTCCATCAATCTCAAGAACCATTTCATGATGCTTTAAACACTAATAATGCAACGTGTTCTCGAGTGTTCGTGGTTCTTTTTAGAACCATTTTCTTTACCAAAGAACCTCTGAAGAACCCCTTTCTTACAGAGTATGTGACAGACTTACTGGTACACACACACCACGGTAAAGTAAGTTCGTCTTTTCGGCGCTAATAACATTTGATCGGACTACGGTGGTCAGTAAAGACTTACATATTCATGACAGTCTGACCACAGAGAGTGATGCACACCTGTGCTTTTACAGTTTGGGTGACATTTAACGTACCGCTATTTTGTGTTAATACCACAGAACTGAGACACGTTTTTCAGTCGGAAGGAAAAGCATGCACTTCTAGACCACGCCCACATCCACGGACACGCCTTTGTTTTCCTCCAAAGCGTTTCAGTGCATTTAAATACATATTTTAATTGTTCATGCTCACAGTAGACACCGCCAGACAATAGAACGTCAATAGCTCCATAAACACTGTGTCCATGCACATCTGATTGTGTTATTTACTGTAAATTATGGTTAGAAACACCACTTTAATTTAGAAAAAGGACTTTGACCTGTAACTAAAATGTACTCGCCAATACTTGTCCTAACAGTACTGAGCGTACCTTACCTGTAAACACTGATATTACCTGTGTACTGATATAGCTAGTTAGCTTGATGAGGGAGGTTCAGTAATCGATTAGCAGTCTTGAAGGTTCAATAGATCCTTAACCATCTAAAATATTAGTTTAAAAATGAGAGTGTAGAAAAGAAAACGTCTTATTTAAGTGGATCAAAATTATTTAAATGAGATATTGCATTATATCCAAAATCCAAAAAATGTGAATGATTGGTGATACCTAGCTGCACCATACACAGTTATTTTTGGTGTTGTATGTAATGTGGCTGAATTATTGAAGTTCAAAATAAATAAAAATGTATATAAAGCAGTTATATATAGTTATATATAAAAATTATTTAAATGAGATGTTGCATTACATCCAAAATCCAAAACTTGTGTATGATTGCTGACATCTTGCTGAACCATATACAATGGTCTTAGTGATGTATGTAATGTGGTTAAAATTCTATTGAACTTCAAAATACATAAATAATATAATATAATTATATAAAGTAGAAAGCTATTTCAGCTAAATTATATACAACATTAAAAACAGCTGTGTATGGTGCAGTGCAGTGTCAGCAATGATGCACAGCCTTTGGATTTTGGATATATTGCTGTAACTATCCATCCATCCATCATCTAAACCGCTTATCCTTCTGGGTCGCGGTGGGGTGCTGGAGCCTATCCCAGCTGTCATTGGGTGGAAGGCAGGATACACCCTGGACAGGTTGCCAGTCCATCGCAGTGTTGCTGTAACTACTTTTTATTAATTGTTATTTATTTTGAATTTCAATAATATTTCAGCTGCATTATTTACAACATTAAAAACAGCTGTGTATGGTGCACCAAGGTCTCACCAATGATGCACAGCCTTTGGATTTTGGATATATTGCTGTAACTACTTTTTATTAATTTTTATATATTTTGAATTTCGATAATATTTCAGCTGTTTTACACCCGACACTAGAAACAATTGTGTATGGTGCAGTTAGGTTTCAGCAATCATACACAACTTGTCTTCTGAAATAAAATAAACTGAGCATAAGCTCAGCTGTTTGTTCAGTTTACAGTAGAAAACGAATCCATTCACATGATCAGTAACCGACTGTGTAGCCGTCTGTGTTTGTAGTGACTCTCGTCGTTTCTTCTACTTTCCCGAGTCTTTTAGAGTCTTAAGTCTGAAGTCTGAGTCGTTGGTGTTCAAGTTAAAGTCGAGTCGCGAGTCTTTCTCGATGTTTTCGAGTTGAGTCTAAAGTCATCAAATTTGTGACTGGAGTCGGACTCAAGTCTGAGTCATATGACTCGAGTCCACACCTCTGCTTCAGTACTACTGAAACTTAGACAAATGTAAAATAATAATAATATAATAATAATAATAATAATAATAATAATGCTAGTGTGATATATCTATATATCCATAGATATAGACATACAGATCTAAAATCACATTAAGTTTATTAAAACACATCATACAAGCACACTACAACCTTTAGTTTGGTGAGATCTGCCTTAGTTCAGGGGTTCTCCACCTTATCCACCCCGAGGCCCACCTGTGTATAACTATAAAGCATAGCAGCCCACAGAACAACTAAAACCAACATTTTAATTGTTTTTTTCTTAATTGCTCACACAGAAAACCTGTGAATTTCACTTCAATCACAGAAACCAAAATATGCAGTTATAACATGTTAATAAACATTTGCTGAGATGTCAAAAAAGGGGGAGAAGAAAAAAAGGAGGTGTAGATGTGGACGTGGACTGTGATTTAGAGCTGCAGTCCATCGCGATTTCACTAAAATACTCTTGTGGCTCCCACAGGAGTCACTGTTTAGTCTGGAGTCTCTTTAGTTTGGAGGGTTTTAGCGCCTCATTTGAAATAATCCTCACTCCACCCAGTGGGCTTTTAGATTAGCGTCGCCATAATCAGCGATAATAAACCTTAATCTCTGCTTCTTTATCGTTCGTTTATCAGTTTGAGTTTAACTACTCAGGTCGCTGATGTTCAGCCAGAAATCGAATGCAGATCTTCGCTGTTTTAAGGCTCGTCTGTCGTTTTTAACAGCAGCCCCGTTTTTTTGGGACGTGTTGTTCAAAATGGGCACATATTTTTCAGAAAACAATAAAACTTCTCAGTTCCAACATTTGAAATGTTGTCTTTGTAGTATTTTCCTTTAAAAATATGATTGACATGATTTGCATTTCATTGCATTCTATTTTATTTACGTTCTGCGCAGCGTCCCAACTTTTTTGGAAATGGGGTTGTATGTTAAAAAGTGAAATACTGTTTTAGTGCATCTTAAAACATTGTTTTCTTTTCAGATCAGTTGGATTCATGGATGCATTCATGAAAGAGGAGAGAAGTGAATGGAAAGCTGAGGATCTTAATCTGAAGTGTGAGTGTAAGTAACCAGTATGAGATGGATTTAAGGGTTTATCACGTTATGATGAAATGAATAGATGAGCCTTTTGGCAATGTAAGCTCTTTGAAAGATATTGGAGTTTAATCCAACCACTTAAGAGGGGAACTCCACTGATTTTTTTTTCCAAAATTTCTAGATGGTTCAGTTGTTAATTCTGTAAACAAAGTCATTCAGAGTGGTTTGGTGTTCTGGGGAAACTTACTGAGTCTGGGATGAACTCTAGTGATAGCACAGACAGGGCAGGCAAGGAAAGTGTAAGAGTGTTTTTAGCTACACTCACAGTTAGCCAT